AGCTTCTGGCACCGAAGTGGTATTTATAAACAGGGAAATAACTCCAGTGGTGTTTTGGATCACTATATGATGCCTGTTATAGACAACGTGGGAGCCCAAGGGACTCCCAGATAGTAACCCTTCATAGAACTGGGAAAATAAACAGCAGACCCCAATTTTATCTAAGGGAATATTGACAACTGATTGCTGCTAGATGAGGAACAGCTGACCTTCCTAAAACAAAGACCTCTAGATAGGCTGACTAGATTCACCAGATGGACAAGTAGTGGGGAAAGCTGGGGGTGCTGACAACACAGCAGACAGTAGAGGGATGACAGAGTATAAGGGCTAGTAGGGGAGGAGGGAGGCTATGGGAGGGTGTCATGCGGGAAGTGGGTGTATAGTTGAATAAGATGGTTTAGGATGTTATGTGTGATATACACACAGAAAAAAAATCAACAAATTTATTTAAATGTATTATATTTGAGGAAGCATAAAAGTTTACATCATGTTCATTAGTAGAGGGATAAACATTACTGTTGAAATCTACCTGATGACTATAGACATACACAAGCGCCAAGGATCCGAGTGCAAACAATTATGACTAGTAATAATCAGATACACATAGATTAGAGACACATACACCAACATCTCCGTGTTAGTAGCAAAAACATTGAGTCTTTCTGGAAGAAACAGTATATTTTAGAATGCAATGAAGACCTTTTTGGAGGTTTAAAAACTCATTCAATTTTATGTCTTACAGGGCTTATACTGAGTTCAATATTGTATAACTGTATTGATTTAACAGCGAACCTGCAAATTTTATAGCCACTTTTGAAGGAGCTGTGTCTTTGTCTGGAAACTCTTATTGGGCATGTTAAAGCTGTAATGATATGCTTCTTCTAAAAAAAATATTTTAAAAATGTAGGAAACAGCCTATCTTGAAATGGAGATCTTTAAAGGGTCAAAACTCATTCAATTTTATACCTTAGAGGGTTTATACTGAGTTCAATATTGTATAACTGTATTAATTAAAAAGTGAACCTAAAAATTTTATAGCCACTTTTGAAAGAGATGTATCTTTGCTCTGAAAACTGTTATTGAGTATGTTAAAGCTGTAATGAAATGCTTCCTCTAAAAAATAAAAAATATACATGACTCCTGGCTAGATGAATAATGCAGAAGGAAACGCTGACTGGCGGGAAGACAGGCTAGTCAGAATCAGGTGACACAGACCCAGTGGTTGTGGGCACTGCTTCCAGTGTTCCTGCTTTGACACAACCTGAAGATGTCTCCTTTCGATCTAGTAACCAACTATGACTAGTAATAATCAGATATAGAGAGATTAGAAACACATGTGCAAACGTCTTAGCATCAATTGCATTAAAAATGATTTTTTTCTGTATGAAACTGTGTATTTTAATGATGAAATGGAGATCTTTTTTAAAGGTTAAAACCTCATTTAATTTTATGTCTTAAAGGGTTTATACTGAGTACAATATTGTATAACTGTTTTAATTCAACTGTAAACCTAAAAATTTACAGCCAATCTTGAAACAGATGCATCTTAGCTCTGGAAATTGTTATTGAATATGTCAATGCTGTTGTCATGAAATGCTTCTTCTTCTTATGTGGTTACTAAATAAACAATTAAAAAAGAGTTTTGGATCTAAATGATGTGTATATCACAGTTTAGTATTCTTTTTTATTTTATGTATATGAGTATATTGCCTACATGTGTGTAAGTGTACCTATGCCATGCAATGCCCACAGAGGACAGAAGAGGGTGTTGGATTCCCCTGGAACTAGAGTTACAGATGGTTGTTACAAATGGCTGTTAGCTGTGTGAGTGCTGGGAACTGAACCTGCAAGAGCAGTCAGTGCTCTTAACCACTGAGTCATCTCTCCAGCCCGCATTTTAGTATTCTTTCAAATGTTTAGTACTTTACTTTTTCTGTGCTAAAAGTTGTAAAACATGAACTGTACTAACTTTATGAGTTGATTTTGTGGGAATATTCTATTTATATGTTATCTACAAACTACAGAACTTTCCATTTTTAACCTTTTTTGTGTCTTTCAGTAAGGTTTTATAATTTTCTTAGTAAAGGCTTTTCATATATTTATTAGGTTTACTAAACCACCTGAACATTTTATTGCTTTCTTACAATGTCTACTGTCCTTTAGCAGTAGAACTGTCTAAAACAATTTCAATACTAAAGCCCAAATCCGTATAGGTCCCTCATACAACTGTCCTTTTCTTAAAACATCATATTTAGAGCAGTTCAAGGGTTAGAGTGACACTGAAAGAAAGGTGCAGTGATACCTCATAAGCCCCCATCCCCAACATGCACATAGCCTCCCGCATTATCAACAGCCTCCACCAGAGTGGTACCTCTTTGCCATTGGTAAACCTAAACTGACATCTTATAGTCATCCAAAGTCCACAGTTCAAATGAGAATTCACTCTTGTACACTCTGTAGCTAAACGTACAGTGGTGTGCATTCACCATAGCAGCACCACAGATGGTATTTTCACTGCCATAACAATACTCTGTGCTTTGCCTATTCATCCATCCTCCTGCCCTGACTTGGAAAACACTTATCTTTTTACTGTTACCAAAGCTTTTTTTCCTCTTTAGAATGACATATAGTGGAATTAATACAGCATGCAGACCTTTCAGATTGACTATTTTCAACTTAGTAACAGGCATTTTAGGTTCCTGTGTCTTTTCATTGAATTGATAGCTCATTTCTTTCTTCTTCTTCTTTTTTTTTTTTTTTCGGTCTTTTTGAGACAGGGTCTCCCTGTAGCCCCAGCTGTCCTGGAACTCACTATGTAGACCAGGCTGGCCTTGAACTCACAGAGATACGCCTGCCTCTGCCTCCCAAGTGCTGGGATTAAAGGCGCGCGCCACCATGCCCGGCTAGCTCATTTCTTTTTAGTTGAATAATATTCAGTATCTAGGTGTATCACAGTTTTTATTCACCTACTAAAGGACATCTTAGTTGCTTCTACATTTAAAAAAATATACATAAAGCTGCTAGAAACATTCACATTCAGGTGTTTGTGTGGACATAAGTTTTAATTCCTTTGGGTAAATACCAAGGAATGCATCATATGGTTGATGAACCATATGATATGAACCATATTACAAAAGCATGCTTTATAAGAAACCATCAAGCTGCCTTCCAAATGGCTGCACCATTTTGTATTTCTACCAGTAATTAATAAGAGTTCCTGTTTCTACATCATTGCCAGCACTTGGTGTTGTCAGGATGGCACCCAAACATTAACTGCAGGTGAACTGCTTCCCTACCAGCTCATATCCCTATGCTAAGCAAACATACCCACCCTTATAAATTTCTAAATGCCTTCTAGGAATGTGCTTCTCTTGGTCAAAATCTACCATTATGGTGTTAATTAGCAATGAATCTAATCTACCCATGACAACTTGCCTAGGTGGTTCCAGCAAAACTCACTAAAGGCCTCCCAAATTATCCCAACTATGTAAGACTATATAGTTTATAAAGACTAGTAAAAATAATAGGGAACAGACTTGTTCACTGAGCTTGGAAAGTATTGATAGCTGTTGCCCAACCAGCATAAGATATAAATTTATAAATCTGTCTGTCATTCACATGCCCTTCACACCAAAAAATATTCAAAGACCTACAACCCCCCATAAATCCTAAATTGCTTCCATTTTCTTCTGGAGCTGATTGGACTTTGGCTACTGCAGTATATGCCAAGAACACTGCACTGTATTTGTTACCTCACTGTGGATTAAGAAACTATACAAAGTAGAAAATGCTTTGCTACTGCAACTATGTATTCATTTTCAAAAATAAAATCAATGCTTTGGACCTATAACTAATGGTCATTATCTTGCTGCAAAATGAATTAATTTGTGAAACTAGCTGTGAGGAGTCTTACCACATGCCTTGATTCAGAGAAGCAAAGTCAACCTGAACGGCTATGAATTTTAAAAGTGCAGCTTTTACCAACCTCTCAGCATATGCTCTAGGAAAAAAACTAAAATTGTTCCCAACCTAATAAAAATGAATCAAGAAATGGCCGCAAATCTGTTTGACCCTAGAGGCCTATTTTAAGCTGTCACTGCTCAGCCAAATAGCATCTTGACTCAAATTCTTCTGCTACCTCCAAACAAGTTTTTCTCATCTTTCCATAGAAGGTACAACTTGGAATAAAAGCATATATTAGTGACACATGAGAAAAAAAAAGGGGTGGGGTGTGTGGATAGCATACCAAGGAGAGGGACTTACTGGACAGAAATAGGTGTTCTCCACGATGTGATGGGCCACCATGGTGTTCTCAGCAGAGAGAGACATGATAAATAACAGAGCATCCCGAGCTTGCTGGCCTACTGTCCCCTCGCGATGAATGAAGGGTATCAGAAGGGAGAAGATGAGGAAGTTGGCAGCCCCTTGGTCCTCACTGGTGTGGAAGAAGAGTTCCAGAATGGATGGATCTTTGGCAAGGATGGAACAGAGCTGGTTGAGCAAAACTACCAGTTTCCCCTCCACAGCTGCAGTGGCTGTTCCCGAACAAGAGCTCAGCAACATCATCAAGGGCTTCAGAATGGGCTTATGGTGCAGCAAAGGCTGGTGTGACTGGGTGACCAACATCTCGTACATCCTTAGCTGCTCAATTTTAGTTTCATCAGTAAATTCTCGTCTCAAACTCCAAAGGAAGAGCTTCTCCATGATATTCTCCGAGACGACAAATTCCAGAATCGGCCCCATCGCAGCACCCTTGGCTTTCTCCTCAATTAGCAGGAAAATCATGTGTTCTACATAGTTCTGCACAGCACTGGCCTCATCTGGGGGAATAGACCCATACTTTGCCTGGGTGTTCTTCAAGGGATCGTGCTTCTCTAAAATTTTCACAACCTGTAACCATATCAAACATGTCATCCATTTACTGTTTACTGTAAAAAAAAAACATAAAAACAAAAAAACACCACCATTGATTTTACCAAATTGGCACAAAAAATGCAGAAGCCAATATAATATGTATTAGACCCATAATTATCAAATATATCAATAGAATAATGGTAAACAAAGAGCAGAAATGCAAAAATAATGTTTTATATTCAGGGGGGTAAAAATGCACTAAATAAGTAAAAGAAGACCTAACTACCCATATTCTCCTATAAACAGAGTTGTTCTAGAGATTTCAGCAGAAGAATATAACTGCTGTACACTCATGAGAAACACTATGCCTCCCTTCTTCATTTGAAAGGGCATCCCCAGCAACCAAGCACACAACACAGCAACAAGACAGATAAAGGAAATGGAAAAAGAAGAGGCCTATCACTAGCAGAATGAATTCTAACAAAAGGCATACACTAAGACCAAAAACTTAAGCATCTGAACATTTCACTTAAGCCCCCCAAAAAATCCCACTGAGATAATCAATCACAAAAGAAATCCCAAAGCTTGGAGTAATATAAAAGTTTTAAACACAGCAGTAGTGACAGTGAAGGCATTTAATGCAACTAAATTAAATACCACCTGAATGTGTTTAAGGTGATACATTTTGTTCAATATACTTCTAAGTCATATTACAGCCTTGATCTATTTCTCTCCCTTCCCCTGCTGGATCCCAATGCCTACCATCTCTTTCTTCCATGGATACTTCTATTTTGGGGCCTGGAAATTTAAGCCATTTTATATTCAATTTTTATTTTAATTTTGTGACTTGGGATTCCTATGACAATCTCATTCAATTTACTTCCTTTAAAATACATCATGTGCTAATTTTTAGAGCACCTGACGTTTATCATTTACCTTTGCTTCTCTCTGCCTTTCTGAATTGCATACAATGCGGTGTTTTCCTCCAGCAGTGCCCTCCTGGCCCAGGTCTAAGATGTGTTGTTACATGTTCTGTATTTGGGTAACAGAATTTTTGCGAGTCACTGGGGAAGTTGGCAAATGTACATGTCAGCATGCTGAGCAATTAGGGAATTCATTTCTTAGGAAAAAGTCTCAGTTTCTCCTTTGTCAGAAGCTTAGGAAAGGAATCTTTATGGATCAAGCAAGTACATCCTGACAGAATGAATGCATTTCCACATATCTATGACTTCTATTAACTTCCATTATAAAATTGATGATGCTATGTGATAAAGGAATAAGTCGTCCCAACACTTTTGAGTTAGCATTTTTCACGAAGAACAGCCTTTGATGGGCAGCTACACAAAAGGTTTATGGCCTGCTGACAGGTGACTAGAGGACAGTCATTGGACACTATCTTCTTTGCCACATACCTGCCTCCAGAGAGCACATACTGTCACACACCTTTCCAAGGGCTACAGAATTCCCTGCAGGTCTACTGGCCCCACAGGTGGCAGCAGCAAATGCCTCACCTCCCCACCTTGGGGAGCCTGTCTGTCTCTCCCTGTGGCTTTTGGCTTTAATAACAGCTACAGAGAGGAACAGAGTAAAACACGGGTTCTAAGGGAACTTTCACATGAACACCACACACCTCCCAGCCCTCAGAGCCCCTAGTGTCAAGGCTCGGCATTCTGAAGGACAAATTAGCTCATGCTTTGTCAACACTATGATTTCAATGTCCTCAATCTTTCTAGAAAATAACATAGCAATAACATAACAGAAGTTATAACAGAAATTACATCAGGAGTTATAAAGTTCTTCTTGCCCTTTGACATGCTAATCTGATTTTAAAGGAAATGTCCCAAGGGAAAAAAAACAAAAACAAAATAATCTGCTAAAATGTTCATGTCAATGTTATTTTCCAGCAATGAAAAATAAAAATACTATTGATCCAAATGGTCAAGAATAAGCAAAATAAAATAAAATACATTGTATCATCACCCAATATAACTACTGTTGTATAAGTGAATTATATTACCGCACACAAATCTATATATGAAATAACTTGTTAGAAAGCAAATATAGGGGCTGGAGAGATGACTCAGCATTAAGAGCACTGTCTGCTCTTGCAGAGAATCCAGGTTTGATTCCCAGCACCCACATGGCAGCTAACAATAGTCTATAACTTCAGTTCCAGGAGATCTGATGCCCTCTGCTGGCCCTGCATGGCATGGATGCACTCACTTTGTACACATAAAATAAAAATAATAAATAAAATTTTAAAAATTTAAAAGCAAATATAAAGCTAGTCATAGTAGCACATGCCCGTAATCCCAGCACTTGGAAGGTGGACTGGAAGTTCAATGCCAGTGTAGGTTATATAATGAGACATCTCAAAAAACTAAATGGGGAAGATGGGGGGGCAAGGATAAATGAGATTTTAAGTTTAATGGTGCCTCTGTAAATTGATCTAATTTCACAACATAAATTGTAAATACAAGTAGACAAAGCAGCTTTGTATTAAAAAGTAGTTTTGTCTAGAAAGAGGAGCAATACACTGAAGTAAAACAATTACTGAAAATCCAATTCTCTGGAATACTTTAGCAATAGAAACTTACAAATGTGAATTTATACTGTATGTATGCAAACAAATATTTATTGTATACCTAATGTGTATGTATAATATACAGCAAAATTCTTTATTTACATGAACACAACTTTCATTTACTTTCTTCTCTTTCGTTAGCCTGCATGTATGTTATTTATTCCAATTCAAGAACTCTACAACTGAGTTACACTCCCAGTCCTACTAGGAGACATCTTCAAAAGAGAACAGAGAATTTCTACAGAATGAAAACTGCTGAGCAGTTTTTAAGCGGAAGTGTCTTAGCCTCCTTACAGCCGCGCCTTCACACTGCTTTCTGGGAAATGGGCAGAGAGAGATGAGAACAGGGTCATAACCCACAGAGATGAAAGGTTTATTGATTTTCTAGAAGGAAGCAGACATCTTGAACTCCTTTGCTCACTCTTGGTCCTGGCAGGTGGTTTTACTGCCTAGAAGATGGGTGTGTTATAACCTAAGGCTGTGAGTCACAGAGCACACAAGCTCAGTGCTGACTGCGCTCAGTTGCCACACATCCTGAGCCTTGCTTCTCAGTAGACCTTCCCAGGCTCTCTCCCCTTCCCTTCCAGACAACACACCCAAGACCTGATTTTCAAGTGGGTTCTGAGACCTCACCCTGGTCTCCTACCCTGGCAGGGAATGCCTCAGAAAGCACCTGGCTGGAGTTCAGCCTGCACTGAAATGCCAAAGAGCTTCTACCCTGATGTTCCAACCTGCCACCCCAATGCAGCCATGGTCCATTCTGTTCCTGCAGATTGACTTCTGACATGATCTGGACTTTGCTTATCTTTTCCCTCTGTGTCCTCTCTTCACATCACTGCTATCAAACTCCCACACACCTGTTTATATACCCACCCACTGAAGCCAGCCTGTTGGACAGGGCAATTCCATGATGTGAGGCTGCATACAGCACCTCCTGCAGGCCTGGCCCTTCCTTTGATTATCTGCTGTGTTGGACTAGATCTTGCCTCAGGTTTCCCATCCCAAGCCTCTTCTGTGTACTTTCAATGATGAGGACTCTGAACAGGTAGGAAAAAACAAATAAGAAGGCTGGAGGGGTCACAGTGGGTGAGACAGTAAGAGCAAAATATACTTTGTCCACCTTTCCTTTACAAAACAAGTTCACTTTATTAGGCCGAAAATGACATTTAATAAACTAATCAGCATATGATAAAAGCCTACACTCATGAACTAAACTAGTTCAGATTAAAAAATGATAAATGTTTTACTGATCATAATTGGAGACTTTTTATCTAGAGAGAGAAGTGAAAGGGAGGAAAGGACAGAGAGAGAGAGAGAGAGAGAGAGAGAGAGAGAGAGAGAGAGAATTAATATCATGAACCTGGATCACATTTAATTCCACATGTAAATTGCCACAATTCTAAAAGGAAGCACAAAAATGAACAGTGTGCACAATAGTTTTCAAATTACCATCAGACTAAAGTAACTAAATTTAACCTAACTTCAAAGTCTTTTGACTTATAAATATGAGTATCATCATGGATAAATAAAATTAGCAAATAACCCATTTCTTTCATAAGGAATATCAGATATCCCCATCCTTATCCCTAATGATGGCCCTATCAGTCAGTGATAATGGGTCTGAACATCAAACAGTGACAAATTCTAAATAGGAAATAAATGAAAGAGCCACATTAATCACATAATTGTACCTCAAACTAAATGATTACCCTTCACCATAAACACAAGAGTCCTCTGCCAGATTTTCTTCAGCCTCATCTTATCACAGTTCTGTGCCTTCCAGCCACATGGATTATGCTACATTGGCTACAGCCTACTTATTTCAAGAAAGTCACATGAGTAAAACTCACACTTCTAAATCCTTTGGAATGCTAATTTAAAGTGGCAACTGGAAAAAAAAAATCAAGTTACTAAGCAACATTTTCCACTGCACAGAAGGGCAGGATTTAGCTGTCATAGGCCAAATTCCACTTTATGTACCCAAAACACAAAAGTCAAGCTTCCATCCTGGGCTTGGTTATGACTTAATAGTTGGGTCTTTCAATTTGGGGCATTCCTTGAATACCTATCTCTATAGTATCTTACTAGGCTGCCCAGTCTTCCTTTTTCCTTTTCAGTGCTGAAGACTGAACCCAGACCCTTGCACTAGGTAAGCTCCCTACCACTAAACTACAACCTTAGTATTTTGTTTTAAATTTTGAAACAGGGTCTAAGTTGCCTAGGCTGGCCTTGAACTTGTTGTGTACGCTAGGCTAACCTTGAATTTGAAATCTTGATTAACTGGAATTGCAAGCATGTACTACCATGTCTGGCTTTGTTTCTTTTAATATTAAAATTATAATATCCTTGTAAAATGTATGTACTTATCCGAGTTACTTAATATGAGCTCCAATCCTGAGCTGCAGAGTTGTCTAAATCGATGATTAAAAAATAAGATAAGGAGCTGGAGAGA